AAAGTATAATTTTAGTAAAAAAATCTTTTAAAAATTTACTAAATACCAAAATTACAAAAAAAATAAATACAAAAAAATGAAATTCAATATATTTTTCATATTTTTCGGTATTTATTAATTTTTTAAAATATTTTTTACAAATTTTTTTATTTTTAGATGCATCTAAGTAAGGTTCATCTAAAAAAGTAAAAAAAAAAAAAGATTAAAATTTTAGAAATATTCACTAAAAACAAAAAAACACGAAAAACAAAAAACTCAAACCAAACACACACAATAAGATTTTACTCATAAGTCAAATTGCTACAAAGGAATAAAACTTAATTGTTTCACATACCATTTTACACCTCTAATCGCTGCAATACCTCACCTTTTAAACGACACCATGCTTCACCCAGCCACTTCCTCCTCCTATCCATCCCCTCACACCTGTGCGACTCTCTAATCCCCTCATTTTATTTTATTTTTCTTCTTCTTCTGTTCCTGCTATTATCAACACCTCTTATTGGGTTTGTTCTTGTTTGTGTCAATATTGGGGTTGGTCTTGTTCTTGGTTTATGATTTGAAGAAGTCAAGAACAGAGAGATATACAAAGAAACTTCGGCTATGGGATGGAGGAAAGAGTAGTGTCATACAGGATGGAAAAAAGATTCTGAGAGGGTAGAGTTAGTGGAGGTTGGAACCCAGTTCTGAGAAGGAAAGAGGGTAGCAATATTGATATCCAAAATGATGGTTTGTTCACTATTTTTGTGGATAACATTCCTGAATCAATGGGTCCAAAGAGCTTGTATATCCTGTTCAACAAATTTTGGGCAGTGAAGGATGTGTTCATCCCAGTGAAAAGAACGATAGTAATAGGTACAAGATTCGGCTTCATCAGATTCGATTGCTCGGTGGCTTAAAATTTGGCTGATAAAAAAGAAAATGGTTTGTGGGCTGAGGATAAGGAGCTAAAAGTTAAAAATGCAGTGTTCACCAAGCATCAATTAAAGCAGCATGAATCAAGTAAACCTTTGAAGATAGATTTACAAAGGCGGTCTGAGCAAGATTTAACACTGGTTGGAGGTCAGAAATCTTAAGCTGAAGAAGTAAAAAGTGGAGCTACTGATAGGAAGGATTATTTAGTGGCAAAAGCTTTTAAGTTAGATAATGAATGGCTCTTTGTGAGTTTGATAGTAAGCTCAAAAACTTCTTCTCTTTTCCGTCATTTAGAGACGAATTATGCAAAAAAGGTTTAGGTGAGATATTAGTCAGAAGAGTGCAATCCTAACCTTCAACTCATCACAAGCTATGAAGGAGGGGTATGACCAACTGAAGGGGTAGATCTATGATTGGTGTGTTTTCAGTAACAGAATGGAGAAAATGGGTAAATCTCGATCAAGAGAGATATGTTTGGTTGTGTTGTTATGGAGTTCCATTTAAGTTATGGAATGCTAACACATTCAAAAGCATTGGTATCTTGTAGGGTGAGGTAATCCAGTTTGTTGAAGTTAACAATACCGATTCTCTTGATTATGACAAGGTCAGATTGATAACAAATAGCATGAAACCTATAAATGCGGTCATAAGTTTGGAGTATAAAGGAAACATATACCCTATTAGAATATGTAAAACCTTTGATTTTCATGAAGATGTAGCACTCAAATTTAGTGCAGAGAAAGATCAAATCTCTGTTAATGGGGAAAAAAGAGTTTGGAGATAAAAAATGGTGCTTTCTTCAAACTCAAACAAGTTAAATGAGTCATCATCAAGTAGCAATCAGTGTGTAAAAGAGAAATGGTTTTTATGGAGGATCTGTGCTAAACTTGGTGCAAATGAAATCTCTTAATTTAAGGAGTGTGCTTGGCCCACAACATAAATATTGGCATGTTCATTCATTATTTTGGAGGCCTAAATCCACTGCTATAGATCTTAGAGTTCCTATTGGAAAAAAGATAAGATTGTGCAAGTATCTTATGAGCCAAGTTCACTTTTCTCTCTTGGGCCCAAAGGAGTACTGGAAGGAGTTGACGTTATTGAAAAGTCTTCTATTCCGATAGTGAGTAGCAATTTGATCAAGATTGAGGAATCTTCTAAGAGGCATGAGGGTGGAGGTGTTCATAAGGCCTCATATCCCAATAATTCAAATCAAAGGAATAAAGAAAGGAAAAAGAAGTTACTGAAAGCATCATTGGTACTTCTAAAATTCAAGAGATGGGGTATTGGTTTAAGATGATTGATTGTTATGAGGGTCTGAATTGGAACGGGATTTTGTTTGGTATGAGGTGTAGATGGACTGTTAAGATCGGTGTTTTGGGTGTTCAGGGTGATTATTATTTCCTTTGTTTTTTGTTTGTTTGTTCGGTCGGTTTCTCTCCAGCCATGGTGTAGTACTAGTAGATGATTAGCTTTATTTCTGGTCCCAACCAAGTTGGAATTGTCTAGTTTGCTTTGATGTTTTTGGCACTCGCCTCTCTTTATTGATGTTCATCTTTGTATTATGTACATCCGATTTTCATTAATAAATTTTCTTTTGCTAATCAAAAAAAAAAAAAAAAAATCAACACCTCTTCTTATTTCCATCTACCTTCTATGCCATAGTTCTAAATCGTGGTATCAAGTAACGTAACGGTATCAATCGCGAAGTATCGGTGTCGATAGTGTCGGCCAGTACGTATCGGGAATCGGGTGTTGTGGCCGTAAAATTTTAAAAATCATTAGCAATTCCTCTAAAACTCAATTTTATGCATTTTTTGGACTTTTTTAGCCTTAATTTGTCACATTTTAATCAAAAATTTGATTTGCAGGAGCACTTTTAACTCATTTTCAACTAAATGATATGTATTTATTTTAGTCTTAATTATAACTTTCAATTATCTACAAATAACAGTTTTCAGTTGACAAATATTATAATTCTAATTTACTTAGTAACAATAATACATTTAAAATAAAAATAAAAAAATCTTGTTGGAATAAACCTCTTTACTTAAAACCAAAAAACAAAAAATAAATAAAAAATAAAAAATTCTAAATCTTAAGCATTTACACCAAAGCAAGACACAAATAAATAAATTAAAAAATTAAAGAAAAATAGTACAAAAACATAGCACCAAAACTTATCTGTGGATATTGTTGTTATACATATCTGTTGAGCATGTGGGTAGTGCTTATATGCCTATCTGTTGAAAAAGGGGAAATGAAAAGTAATTGGGACTTGTAAGTCGTTTGACATAAATATATGATTTATGTGATTGTATCAGTGTTGGCCATCTATCAATTGCTAATCTTTTAGTCATTGTTCATGGTTGGTTTAGTATATTTCTACTGGGTTGTGGCTCACCCTATATGGGAATATCATTTTCAGGTGCAGGAAGCATGCCACCTCCAAGGACATAGCTGGAGGCTAGAGGCGGACATACTTTTGTCGCCTAACTTTTGATGTATTACATGTAACTTCAAGCCAAGGGCTTAATGTGTAAACGAGTTAGTACTCTTTTGTTGTAACCAAGTGTTAACTTGGAAAGCTGTAAGCCCGTAGGGCATTTTGTTTTGATGTTAACATGTAATACTTATGTAATGAAACTTTAATGAATAAAAGAATGTGGTTAGCTTCTATGTAAATGCATGTCTTATCTGATGGGTTTAATGTTGCTATTTTGAGGGCGTGACAGCTGCAAATTTCATTCTCACCGCTATATAGGTCCATATTCGAATCGGTGCTTCGATTTTTCGGTACGAATACCGACCAATATTTAGATCTATGTTCTATGCAACTCTCTCTCTCTCTCTCTAAACTCTGCAAATCAATAGTGGTAGGTGGTCAAGGTTGGGTAATGAAAGAAGAGGCATCCAGGTTGGGAGAGGAGGGTATGGGATTTGGAGTTCGCAAATGGAAGGGAAATGGAGCTTCTGGGTACTGAGAGGGAAGCAAGGAGGGGAAGAAAAGAGGTGGAGTGGTAGGTGTGTTGTAAGGGGTGAGAGTTGGTGGCGAGGAAGGGATTATGGGTGGCAACAAAGAAATGCAAGGGATTAGCAAGCATCAAGAAAGGAAGGGAGAGGTGGTTGGTTGGCTTTAGTGCCTGGGATGACAACTTGTGGTTAAAGGGTTGGTGGGGGTATGTCAATTGTTGTTTTTGCTTGGCTTTGGTTGGTAATTCACCAAGTTTTGATGGTGTGCTAGTAAGGGATTGGGTGGCGAGGAAGGGATTATGGGTGTGCATATTGTTGCCAACCTAGTTAGGATCCATTTTTTTTTTTTTCTTGATGTAATGAGTTCTTTGTTCATCAATAAATGTTTTATTTTGTCAATTAAAAAAAAAAAGGATTGGTGAGGGTAAATTTGAAATTATTTCCGGTGATAAAGAAATAACAAAATTGAAATTTAAAATTGAGGTTCTTGAAATAACTACTTTATTTATTTTTATTTTTTTTTGGAACCACTCAAACTTTTTTTTTTTTTTTTAAAAAAAAAAAATTTGCCAAGAAAAAAATGAATACAATGAATCTTTTCAAAATTTTCTATGCTTTTTTATTTTTGAAAACACAAGAAAACAATTTTCAAGGCCTTGCCAACAAAAATGCTAGATAGAGCACGTAATTAAAATACAAAGATATGTACATAAAAACGACTAAATATTCATCTTGGATATGTTGTGAATCACTCTTAAAATAAATTTTAACCACACAATCTCTCTTTTTTTTTTTTTGTTTGTGTATGTGTTGCCACATAGCAAGTTCTAATTTCTGAATTATATATACGTCCAAATACGAAGTCATTTATATATGCTAACCACATAGAGCTGCAAAATTGAAAGGTCAGTTATTTCCAAGCAAGCTCGAAAAATTCTTGAAACCATATCCAAGCTCTATATTGAGCTGCTATATATATGAGTCCATATCTCTCCTAGCATTTACAGATAGATAAGATGCATATATGCATTATGCTATGATATGCTGGTAATAACTACAAAATCTAATGCAACTACTAGATAGGTACAGAAGCTTTTGCATGGTTGGAATTGGATTCAGAGTCGTCCAGGGTTATCATCCCAGTCAAACTCACCAGAGGCAAACACTGACTTCAGGAATTCTTCATCATCTTGCTGCAAACAAAAATCAAAACCGAATTTCGGTGAGGAAATTTTCTAGGAATATCAAACTTCAAAATGAAATCTCAACATGTGGGAAACACTAGGAGAACCATGACTCCTTGACTTTAAGGGTAAGTTTGGCAACATTAATTGTAGTCAAAAAGTCCAAAAATTGTACAAAAAAGTGAAAAATTCTCTTTTTTATATATTTTTTGCACCTTTTTTTCTTATAAAAATTCAAACTATCATCCCAAGCTTATTATTTTGTTTCACATCATATTTTAACAAAAAAAATTACTATTCCCAAACCAATAAATGAGTGTTGTTAAGCTGAAATCTCTTAGGGAGGGTCCGTGGGTCGGCCCATTAGCTCATTCCAATGGACTCTTTAGAGCCCAGCCCAAAACCAGGCATATAAAGTCTAATTTCATATGCAGGTACATCTCTCTCTTTTCTTTCTTTTTCTTTCTTTTTTTACAAAATAACTTTTTTATGTATGTGTGTATTTTTAATAAAAGAATAAAATTAAAATTGATAAATTAAATGAGTAGGATGCCAACTATAATATTAATAATTATATTGTCACCAGATTAATGATACATATAATTTCATAACATAACCATAATGTGTATTAATTTCACAATTCAATAAATAATGTTTATGTTTAATTTTTTTATGATTCAATATAAAAATCTAATTTTTTTAATGCATTTTAAAAAATTTTATTATAAATAAATTTTGAATTTAAAAAAGAAAAGAAAAGAAATTTGAATTAAAACTCAAATTAGGCTTATATGGCCAAGTTGGGCTTTGGACTTACCCGAAGTCAACGTTGGCTTTGAAAGATTTTTTAACCTATTCATCAGTCAAAACTCATGGTTTGGGTCTTATATTTATGTCTCAAAAATGTTAGAGAATCAAAAAAATTTTACCAAAAATTCTATCAAATGTTTCACATGAATGTGAGACTCACATGAAATCCACTTTGTGTGAGTCTCACACCCATGTGAGACATTTGGTAAAACTTTTGATATAATTTTTGAGATCTCTAATATTATCCTTAAATCCCAGCCGATTCCCATGACTTAGTTGAGATCATTTAAATTTATATTTTGTAAATGATTGGGAATTAAGATACAACAAAATGCCTACTTTACAATATTGGTGTAATTAATCTAAAATCTAAAAAGATTTAGAGGAACCCCATTATACAGTTTATTTATCAAGGGAAGGAGTTTCAAATCAAGTAGACACAAAACCTGCCTGACTAGGGTTCTGCTCAAATGATGGAACATATTTATCTGATTGACTCTTGACACTGCCAAAGTTTGAGACCATCTCACCACCACCAGGTTTCTGAATGAACTACTTTGGAGTAAAATGAAACATTCATATATAAAAAGTATATATATATATTCAATCAGCCATGATATTGATTATGGATTAATTAAGTGGGTACATGCCTGTCCAAGGGACTGCTGGTTCACTAGTGGGTTAGCTTCCACATGATATTGACTGAAAGAACCATCTTGCTGTTACACATTTAAAAACCAAAAAACAGAAAGAGAGATTATTGTATCACTTTATGCAGTCCGGGATAGAAAATATAAAGTTCCAAGAAGATTAACAATTTTTGTTCAGCTAGTAAAAGTAACAGAAGCTTTTTCCATACCTGAGTTGGAGATTGAATGTTGATTTGGTTCAAGAAATTAAAGCTAAGATCATCTTCTCCAAATGGTTGTATGAAAGAGTTGCTATCAAAGTCTGAGACATTATTCAACAGACCAAAGAAACGGTCACTTTCTCCCTGTCCATTCCCAAAACTGTTTTGTTGCACTAGAGGTGTGGGTGGCATTGGGGTCACTGAATTGTTTTCTTGTTGAATGGCACAATTAAATGTTGTTGGCAAGACTTGACCTTGGCTCTGAAACCCATTAGAAGTGATCACTCCTTGTGCCAAATTATCACCAAAATTGCCACTCAACAACGGCATAGTAATCATACTTTCATTATTTTGTTTCCCATTCATCAAGAAATTGTTACTGTTATAATTTGTTGGTGCCTCCCGACCCTTAAATCCTAATCCAACAAGCCTCCCATCACCAGCCATTTGGTATCCAGCATAATTATTTTTGTAGGAATTGCCATTGGGTTTAGGTTTAAGGTTCAAGTTATTAGAACTGTTGAAAGCCCCCATTTTTCCATAGCCCGTTACACCGATATCATTGTAGCCGTGAACTCCAGATGTAGTAGAATTGTAGTTCAACATGCCATTTTTAAAGCTCTGTGTCTGTGGTGCTAGTTGATTCTTTTGTTGGTACATTTCGAACAAATTTGGACCAGTCATGAGGCCAGTGCCACCTGAAGTATTTCCATGGAGCGACAAACTGGTTTGATGATTATAAGGACGTTTTACACTACCATTGCCAATGGTTGGTTTCTTCAAATTACCTTGATTGCATAGTAGAAGTGATTGGGTGCATCCGAATCGAGGCATGGAGAAGTTGGTAGATGAAGCTTCCTGGGTAGAACAACATGAAATATTATTGCCAAGGTTGGGAACTGGGACATACCCTCCATATCGCCGCTGCGATCTATTGAACATTGAGGAAGAAGGTTGTCCTGATGCGAAAGTTGATCGAAAGGTCCTTTCAACCATGTTCCTTTCAGTGGCAGATTGAATTTTATAGCTTGCTTCAGAAACTCGCTTCAAGAAAATTCGATACTTCTGCAAATTCATCATATTCATTCCATCATTTTTGAGTTTTGACAATGATTACTGCTACAAAGTACTAAGAACTACAATTATTTCACTCAGATCTTGCTTCTCATTGATCTCAGTCATTGGTTGTTGTTGTCGTAACGGTTGCAATGGCGCGATTGTAGTTGCAGATGTAAAGTACATAGCGTAACGGTTGCGGTAATCAGAACCGTAATTTTTTTTTTCGCACAATTTTTAAAAAAAATTACCAATACACATAAATTATTTATTTATTTATTTATTTTTAAAGATTCACATTTATTGGGGTTTAAAATAGATTTTGATCAATTTTTGTTAGTTTTTAAGTATGATACAATATATTTCATATTTTTAAATCACTAAAGGAGCTTTTAATTTTATTTCAATAGTTAATAAGATTTAAACAATTGTTTTAAATATTTACAAATTTTTTTGACCAACACCTCAACTAAATAAAAAATATTCACAATTATTAATAGAATAACACATTCCTTTTACTTGGTATTTTACCCATAAGGCTGTATGCGTTAATATAGATTTACACTAACCTTTCCAATTAACACAAACATTCCCACTTTATAGCTAGTTAAATAAAATTATTTACAATTAAGTATTAAATGAAATGAATATAAAAATAAAAATTGTGCCATAAACAAAAATTATTTTTGAGCTACTGATTTTATTTATTTTTTAAAAGACATTTTTTAGACAACATATTACAATAGAAAATAAAAAATATTTATAATTAAATATTAAATAAAATGATTATAAAAATAAATACAACCACTGTTTATATATTTTTTATTTTATATGTTAATGTAATGAAATAAAAATTAAAAAATAAATTATAAATAAGAAAAATTCATATAAGATTTTTTATTTTATTTTATTTTTGGTTTGAATCACTTAAATATTTATTCTTTTCTTGTAAGCTTATTTATTTATTTATTTATTTTGAAAAGGAAACTATTCAAAATATTATAAAAAAGTGTAATGGACCGTTACGGTACTGGTACGACCGTTACGTAACACCGTCACGATTGGTCCATTTGGAAGTTAAGAAATAACTGTATATTTAATGGAATTCAGCCTAGTGGGTTTGAGTTATGTGAGATTATTACGATCAGATTTGCTCTTTGGATTAAAGTTTCATTATAGGGGATTATGTGCTCTGTCATGGACTTAATCAACAATCTGGATCAGATTAAGGATTGTAGTTGAGGGCTGCTAGCTAGTTTAGTATCTTGGCCTACCACCATCTGGTGTGTATGGATTGTTATTATCTGGTTTGTATGGCAACATGTTGGTGCTTTGGTCTGCTGCCTCATTTTGTCAACTATTGTATGCAGTTTAGCTGTTATGGAGTTAGTTGTGGTTGCTGTTAAGGTGTTTATTGTGATATTCCTGTTCCGTAATATTTTAATTGGTCCTTAATATGAGTATGATTATGTGTTTAACATGATTTTGTGTGCTATTATGTGAAAATATGTGGTTTTAAATTTTTATTTGTTCACCGTAGGAATATCTGTTTGATTATCTACTTTGGAAATTAAATTGAAGGCCTTATCGGCCACGGAAACCGAAATTGATTACGCCATTGTGATTAACGTAATTTTTGGAGCCTATAATTTAATTAGAAATTGATTCGAATCAGATTAAATTGATTTAGTTAATGGCATAGTGTTCAAATTATTTAATATTATAATTTTAGTTAGTGGACTTTTACTTATAGGGCCTTATACACTCTCCTTTATTTCTTTGGAACTCAAAAATCTGAGTTATACAATTGTGAGAGAGAGAGGGCCATAGAGAGAGAAAGGGGGAGAAATTGTGCAATTTTGGCTCAAAGCTTGGAAACCTTGAAGATTACTCAAGAATTTGCTATAGATTGTGGGAATTAAAGCTCCTAGGTGAGTATTTCATGGATTCTAGTTTGTAATTTTGTGTATACAAGCTAGTTGGGTAATCAAGAGTAAGAATTGAAATGAAATTGAGTTATTATGTTGAATTGAAGGTCAATGTATGCATGCATGTGTGTAATTGCTTTGAATATTGCATGTTTGAGCACAAAGGGTATGATCCATGTAAGTTTGTAGTTGAAGCTCATGTTTTGATCACCTCTTCATCTTCTAAGTTGAGAGTAAGGGTTATATAGCACATGCATGTACAATTCTTGAGAATATGAGCTTCAATGCATGAATTTGTTATGTTAGAATGAGTTTGATGAAAGATTGGGACATGCATGTGATTTATTTGTGAAATTGAGCTTCATTGGGTTGTAATTTGGGGTTTATACCATATTAGTACAAGTGTATTTGAAGTTTGAGCTATTGCATGCAAGAAATGTTGGTTGAATGTCGAATTGGAACTCAAGAACACGTTCTGGAAAACCCAGAAAATTTGATGTCCGCTAGAGCGGGGAAACTGCCGCTCGAGCGTGAATTTCGTGCTCCCAGTATTTTTGCAGACTTGGATGTCCGCTCGAGCGGGTAAGTGCACGCTCGAGTGGGGAACTATTTAGACAGACCTTCAACTCGAGCGCCAGATCTCACGCTCGAGCATAATTTTGATGCATCCAGCACTTTTTGCAGATATGGTGTCCACTCGAGCAGGGTAATTTCATGCTCGAGCGGGGAGCCATGTAGTGAGGCCTTCCGCTCGAGCGCTAGAGTTCGTGATCGAGCGTAAATTTGACATATCCAGTACTTTTGCAGGCCTCAAGGGTCCGCTCGAGTGGGGACCCTGTTTTCTGAAATTTTAAAAAGGACATTCTGTGTTTCATTTTCTATTCTCTTTCACTTCTAAGTACTCTTAAGCATGCATTGAGCATTGTACTTGAGTTAAAGAGATAAGAATGAAGCCTAAAGAGGAAAATGTGAATTTAGAACGGATTGAATTGTTTGTGACGCTTTTGTGTTTATGAAATGTGTAGGGTCGAGCTCCAGGGCAAACCAACCAACCGATCACTGTGAGTAATATTGATATTTTGAAATTGTCATTTGTCCAATTGCTTATTTCCTTATAAGGCTTATAAGTTTGCTAATTTGAATCACGGACAAATGTTTGATATGAATGGGCCAGAGGCCAGTTTGACATGAATGAATGGGCCAGATGCCAGTTTGACATCAAAGAATGGGCCAGAGGCCAATTTGACGTGAATGGATGGGCCAGTGGCCAGCTTGACATGAATGGAAGATAAATGGGCCAAAGGCCAGTATGTTTGGAACCACTGTCACTTGACTTAAATTGTGTATGTATATATGTTAAATAGAAATGTGAATTGGACCCAAGGCCGTTTGAAGCATGTTGTTCTACGTACCGTTTGTATAACTCCTTTATTTGATATTGTTCACTGAGCTATCGCTCACGCTCATTCATGTGTTTGTAGGTGAGCCAAGAGAAATCCAGACCCAGCCCTAGTGATGTTTATGTGGAACAACAAAGGTTTTGAAGAGTCAGCCCTCGCGTCTCACGCATGAGACCCGTTTTCGCCTTTTTGTCATTTGACGTGAATGGATGGGCCAGTGGCCAGCTTGACATGAATGGAAGATAAATGGGCCAAAGGCCAGTATGTTTGGAACCACTGTCACTTGACTTAAATTGTGTATGTATATATGTTAAATAGAAATGTGAATTGGGCCCAAGGCCGTTTGAAGCATGTTGTTCTACGTACCGTTTGTATAACTCCTTTATTTGATATTGTTCAGTGAGCTATCGCTCACGCTCATTCATGTGTTTGTAGGTGAGCCAAGAGAAATCCAGACCCAGCCCTAGTGATATTTATGCGGAACAACAAAGGTTTTGAAGAGTCAGCCCTCGCGTCTCACGCATGAGACCCGTTTTCGCCTTTTTGTCATTTTGTTTCATGTTGTCATGTTAGCGAAGCCTTTGAACATGTCTGTATATAGTTTTCATGAGTTGACTTAGACTTATATGATCCTGTATGTACAGAACCTTGTGTGGTACATATTTTGTGGTGAGTTATTAATGTACATATGTATGGTTTGTTATGATGTGCCATGTAAGCACAGCTCTATGGACAAAGTTTTAAATTGCTTCCGTTTGGCCCCCGTTAACTCTGTTAAAATACGTTTGGTTTGGTTCGAGGCCGTAGGTAATCTCATGATTACTGGCCAGTTATGTCCTTAACCCACGGGGGTGGGTTCGGGTCATGACATTTATGGGGTGTGTTCTGTACTATTGCTCCTCTATTTTGTTGGATCTTTGCCAACCTTGGACCTGAGTTAGCATGTGTGTTCCTCTTAGTGCCAACCTAGTTAGGATTATAATGAATCACTTTGATACTTCTTGTTTCTTGCCTTTTTTTATTCAAGTAATCTTCACACTTATTATGGTTTTTCTTCTTCATCAATGCAGTTCCTTCATTTACTGATAAAAAAAAAAGAACGTACCACCGAAACGGCCGTTACAAATATGAATTTCTGTTATACTGCTATAGTGGCCGTAACAAGTGGTGGTAAGCACCACAACTATTATGTAACTGCGTTACATAACAGTTGTGGCTGCTTTTTAAAATCTTGGCTGCAGTGGATAAAGTTTTCTAGTATCTCCAATTGTCTAGGTTTTTTTTATTTTCCTTCTTTATAAAAACACGCAAAAGTACCTACATTGTTTATTTAACTACTTATTTATAGTATTTTTGGTACTTGAAAGATTATGCATCCAATTTCAAGTATATGAAGTAATTTTGGTAACAAGGGATGGCCATTTATTTGCAATTTAGTGTTTCATGAGCAAAGAAGCACAAGTTCTGGTGTGTGTGTGTAGATCATCCATATTCTAATGTTACTAAGTTTCATATCTTAAGCTTGTAGATTGACATGTTAAAATAGAAATGTTTGAGGTAAGTTAAATTTTCTAGACCGTTTTGCTTCTTGATTTTTAGTTTATTACAAAAGAAGCAAGATTGTATATTAATATAGATTCAAGAGATGACAAACTGAGTTATATATAAAAGATAAATCATTTGTAACGAAATATAACAAACCTGTAAATGACTGGCAACATTTTCTCTAGTTAATCCTGGCACATTCATGAGCTCAAGAATTTTCTTTGGAACAGCCCCTGGATATTATTAAAAGAAAAAAAAATAGAAAAAGAAAAGAAAAAAAAAGAAAAAACAATCAGGAAGGGTATCATTATAAAGTAAATGGGAGAGCTATGAATATACAAGTCAAGATTAAAGAATTAGAAAAATTAGCTAGAGAAATCTCTTACTTTCAAGGCCTATGCTTCTAATGGCTTCCAAGAACTGGCTGTGGAGTGCATTTGTCCAGACAACCTTTGCCTTCTTCGGGGTAGAACAATTGTCCTTGTTTTCTCTCTTGTCAGAATTGTTTGTGTCCTTTGTCGTGGTTTTTCTCTTAGACTCCTTTGTGCTTTTCCTATACTCATTTGCAGACGACGTAGACTCTACATCATCATTAGAACCTTTGTCAGTTTGGGATGTTTCTTGAACTGACATTTCTTCGTCACTCCCAATTTCCTCGATAATGGTTTTGCCTTTCTTCTTTGCAACTGTATATTGCCATAAATTTTTCAAGTCATCTCGGGCAATCGGTTTTACTATGAAAAATGCACCCCCGCTTTGTAACCCCTTTAATATGATACTGTCTTTGTTATCAACCGACATAACTGCATTAGGAAAAAATTTGGCCACAACCCAACAAAAGCTTATTATATACTAAACAAAATCTGCAAATGTTTAAGTTACAATTATGTATCCCAATGGAGTATATACGAAAAAGTTTCCTTTTTTTTTTTGACCGACAAATGTTAGTTGTTAGATTAGCACCTATGAGAGAAAATCTTCTCACTCTTGGCAAAACACCTAAGTGCTTGTACTCCCTTAATTCAACCCCTCTAAGAGGAATTGAACTCATGACCTCCTTAGGACTAAGCCTTAATAAAGACATGGTGGCCATACAAAAAAGTTCTCTTATTGATTGTGTTGAGGTGTGGTCATGTGATACTGGTGGTTTCGTCACATATTTGCTATTAAAAATCTTTTTAATTTTATCCCAAGAAGTGAAAACAGCTACATAGCCGCTATGAATTAATGGAAAAGAAATTAAAGTATGACAGTAAAAGTGTCTTTGTTCCTCTTGTTAGGATCCAATATAGAAAATGATTGATAGCCAAAAAGGCTTGACAAATTGGGGCGCCAAAAAAAAATAAATAGTCAACTCTATTGGATCATCAATTTCAATACAACAATGCGAAAGTTGTAATTTCTTTTTTTCAATAGTAATAGTTTAAAATGATATATATATATATATATTTATCATCAAAATAAAATTTTATTGATAATGAAAAAAGTATAAGATAAGGACTTGACTGAATTGCATCATAGCTCAATAATACATATCAACTAGGTTGGCACTTACAGTTTAAAATGATACTTACAAACTACAGGTAGCTTGAACTCTTCATGAATTTGCCTTTGTAACTCGAATCCATTCATGTCTGGCATATGCACATCCGTTATTACAAGGTCAAAGGAGCCACCCCTAATTCTTAGGGTACACAAAGCTTCAATTGGATGTTTGACTGTCACAACTGAGATTAGAGCACAAGAACGATTTGGTAAGTGAGATAAACTAAGAAGTAAATCTTGTGTTAGAACTTCCTAGAACCAAAAGTATGAAATGCATACACTCCTTATAAACTCGTATAAATAAGATGAAATGAACAATAATAGGTCATAGACAATCAACATAAATATAGATCATTTGAAATTACACATAAGTCACGGATTTGAGTTGCATGTACATGAATCCTCTCCAATTGTAGTAATAAATTATTTTGATGAAATTGTATATAAAAAAAAAGTCCAATGAATTAATGTATACAGCCGACAATCAAATTGACTGTTAGATCCAATTTTATGAGGAACTCATAATTAATTTAGTAATAAGCAAGCAACAAGTTTTCATTTTATTTCAATTGCTGAATGGGGAAATAGATCTGTTTGCTAATAAATTTTTAAGGCACTAAAGAAAATAAACATGTAAGGAAAAATGGAGAAATAGTGGAAAGAAACAATATATATATATATATATATGGAGAGAGAGAGAGAGAGAGATGCCATTAAAAAGGAGAGCAAATCTTTTTTTTGGTCCACGGGACATAAAATGGAGAAGATGAACCACCTTTTTTTATTTATTTAATTTTTAATCTCCAAAAGTATTAGCCATAGACATCCCAACTCTATACCTTGTGATAAATTCTCACTTCAACTTCTTATGCGAAAAGTGGGTTGAAAGAAAATGAAGAAATCTGTAGGAGGGAAAAAAAAAAAAAGAAGAAGAAGAAGAAAATGCAAACAAAGCTTTTTGAAATCACTAACATTTAAAAGATCCCTTAAACATTAGTTAACAAAAACACTCACAAAATATATATATTAGTACCTTGATAATTCCATGATTTAAGTATAGCAGCAACAATGGAAAGACATGTGGTATCATCATCCACAACCAAGATGCTGATTGATCGAAAAGAAGTACTAGTCTGAGACGATTGGCTTGATGTAACCATCTCATCAGCCATGTTTAATTAGAAGTTTAAGTACTCAAAATGGTGCATGGAGGGAGAGAGAGAGAGAGAGAGAGAGAGAGAGACAATAGAGGAGCTAAACAACTTCTGGTACACAAAAGAAAAAGATGAAATTCAATGTTGAAGATGAAGAAAATGACACCAAGTGTCCTGAATAGATTTAGGGCAAGAGAGGGAGAGAAAGACAAATAGATTTAAAGAAAAACAAAAAGTTGAGATATTATTTTCTGTCTCTATTTTAAATTTTCCATCATTTCAAAACCAATTTTGTGTTCATACAAAACTACTTACACACTATACAACCTGTGAAAGACAGTAGATGCGCGTCCGCCCCTTGAATTTTAATGTCATTAATGTAAAAAGCTAGAGCAGTATTATTAACATTTATATGCCAAATAATAATAAATGGATTTACATGGAATACTTTCTTTGGAAAATCACATGATCTATCATATCTTTTAATTTAATGTCTATTTCTATGTTTCTCCTTTCCACATTAGGAGTTCTTTAAAAAAAAATAAAAATCACAATTTTTTGGCTTCTAATTGTGAATAGAAAGGCAACAAGCATCCATAGTTTACTTAAATTTGTAAAAAATATCACTTAATAAAAAGTTCTCGTTCTAAAATTTTGTTTGGAGATATATTTGACAGGTTGAGATGAGCTAAATATTTGGCCAGCCATGCCTTCTTCCAAGATGGTGGATGAATCAAATATGTGAGTTAGAATCTATGAATTGCAAGATTCATAATGCTCAAATTTATGAGTTCAACATTATGCTTGCTAGCTATTCTTTGGATACTGTCCTTTTTAAATTATTATTTTAATGACTAAAGACTGTAGTACTAGTGCAAAGAAAATTGTGTTTTTCTCTAGTTGGAACTACTATTGTTTAATTATCTTTTAGCTAATAACAACTTCTATTTAAAACAAGCATTTTAGTTCTAAATCTTTGGCTATATCCTAAATATTTCTACAATCTTTCTTGTCTCCATTAGTAATATAATCAGCCCTTGAAGTAAAGAGACAAGCATGTTAGTATTTAAAGGTTTTGTCAGGCTTTTAATAGTCATTGTCTTCTTTTCCTCATCTTTGCACTTAATTTGTTAAATATGATCATAGATTTGTAATCCCAAAAATTGATGAGTAATTAAATTGTTTTCATAACTAACATATTCAGAGCATTTACTAAATTTAACAAGGTCGTCGTTATATGGAATACGACGTGTACGGAATGTCCGAAATAATGGTGAAACCTTGTATTGTGAAATTCTGCAATATCACACGTGTCATGAATTTATCGTTATTATAGATTTTCTTGGTGCAAACGATAGAAACTTCTCAATCATGTAAAGTTGACTTCTGTTGCCGAGATATTTATTAGTCGTTGATCAATTTTCTATTGCAAGAAATGAGAAAAAAAAAAAAAAAAAAAAGGTAAAATGCCCAAAATATCATTTCTCTTCATTTACAAAGCTTCCAATTTTATTCATAAAAAGAAAAAATGTACACAATTTTATTCTTAATTTTTTTTTTTTTTTAGAAAAAGAAACACTTTCTTAAATTTCTTGGTAATTTTCATCAAATTGTAGATAGCAAAGAGGGTGATGTCAAATTTCTTATCACCTACAATTCCATGTATACAATGGAAGAAGATTCAAAAACTCAATATTTGTGCAGGGAAATGTGCCATAATAACATGACCAACATCACAATAGAAGATTCATGAAGGTCAAGTGTAGGAAGAACACTTGTCATCATGGGCTAGTGGAAATTCATGTATTCTTTTCGAATAAGCCATCCACAGAGATAATGTTGGTATCTCAATAATAAATGAAAGGTTTATCCCCTTATCTCTTTATTAGTTACTAAGTAATCAATTCATTTAATTTTTGTACAAATAAAGAATAATGATTCATATCTCTGATTTTGCTCTTCCAATTTCATCTCTAATGATGTGGAATTAAGAAGGTTAAAGATGAGAGAGAGAGGAGTGTGAGAACATTTAACATGGGAGTGGACCACTTCATTAGAAGTGGAATTGGAGAGACAAAATTAGGACAATGTAGCACCACTCACAAATAAATTGATAAAGGGAAAGCTGCTTTGGAATTGACCTTATCCCAATATTTATGTTCACACAATCTGCATATGAAAAAGGGTTAACAAATTTCTTCTCATCTTTTAAAACGAATAGTTGACTTGTGTGAAATACGGGATTGAGCAAAATAAATAAATAAAAATATAATATCTCGTAAATTTTAATTGAATTATTAATCACTACAACAAAATTGAGTTTTTATGACTCTACATTAACGACATACAGTAAATGCAAGCCGTAGTTTTTCACTTTTACGACTTCCTTTTTTTGCATGTCGTAAATTATTTCCCAACCATGGCGTGTCTATTGCGTAGGCCGTGAATGCTAATAATGATGATTTTTTTACGGCTTGCAATGTTAGCCGTAAATAATAAAATGTTCTACGACGCGTATATGGCATGTTGTTAATACATAAACTATATATGACACACGTACACTAGCCGTTAAAAATATTAAACATTTCACAGCACACAAAAAGTCAGCCGTTAAAAATATTATACTTTTTACGACGTACAAAAAGTCTGCCATTAAAAAATACATTTTTCACAACGCACATATGCTAGCCGTTAAAAATATTTTACTTTTCACGGCATGCAATTTTTGTCGTGACTAACATGACCAAAATAAAAATAGGCGCCAAAATGAAATACTCTGGCACCAAAATGGTAAAATGAAATACTCTATGAATTGGGCATAGCTCTCTCACTTTACAGATGCTATCTCAATCTGTCTGTCTCCCTCTCTCTCAGTCTCTCTCTCAGTCTCTCATGGCGATTTCAAGGTCCCGAACCAAAACCCTATGTTTTCTCCCTTTTTTCTAGATTGGAACTTGGAAGATCTTCACCATTCTTAGAAAAAGTTGGAGCTTTGTTTTTTTTGTTCTTCTTAGCAGATCGTTACCCCCCTCTCTCTTTCTCTCTCAGCAAATCGTTGAAGAAGAAGAAAACATGACTGCATTGAGTGTAGCCACCAGACACTGCAAGAAAGCAATGAAATTGGGAATCTCTCTTACGCAGCGGCTTCAACTTCTCCAGATGGTTTGTCTTCTCTCATTTCTTGCTTCGATTTTTTATAAAACCCTAAAATTTGACAAACAATGGGTGTGTATATGTATATTGAATTTGATGATTATAAAAATAGCAAGACAATGACGAAGAGGCCAGGATAAAGTTGCTGAGGAACAAGAGAGAGGCGGTGATGAAGCAGATGAGGCATGACATCGATGTACTTCTTCGGTCTGGTTAAGATGCCACTGCTCGCATTCGGGTATTTCTTCTTTAATTTTGGTTCTTTCATTTCATCTCACTTTTATTGTTTTGTAATTAATCTGTGTGGAGCTAGCTATCCCTGAATTTGGTTTTGGGGTTTTTTTTGCCTTTTGAAATGGAAACTACATATTAGAGCATCTGCAACCATTTACCAATTTTTTTTTCCATCTAATTTGATTCATAATTTGAGTAAAAAAAAAGTTGATTTGAGGTTGAAGTCTTTTAGGTGGGAAGGTGTTGGTGATGATGGTTTGATGGTCTCATTGGAAATTATTTCAACATAAAAAACATCCATATTCACCAATTTTGTTGATAGAACTATCAAATTTTCTTTTTATAAATAATTTTTCTAGGCAGAAACAAACTTGTTCCAAAAAAAACCCAATCCTCCAAAACCTTTGGCCAATCAGATGAAGAATTCATGGTTTCATTTATAGAATCTCTTCCAATTGAACCCACATCACCGTCACAGTTTGGCAAAAACTATGTAAGATTGTATTTGAATTTTTGATGAGTTTTGGTGTTGGTGATTTTTTATTTTGTTATGTTAGTGGCTTTTATCAAATAGGGAATCTCTTTCAAAAAAAATCAAATGGGAATTTGTGTTGGGATTTTGGTGAATGGTTTGGTTATTTCACCTATGTATCTTGTCTATACTTTCATTTTTTTCTTGTGTTAGTTTGAAGGGCATCCCCTACTTTGGTTTGGTTTCAGTGAGTAATGTGAAGCAGTACACTTGAGAACTACTATTAATGAGACTTATAATAATATGCACTTTTACAACTTATATTAATGAGAATTATTTATGATGACATCGACTCAAAATTTTCATTATATCTATAGGTGTCCCATGTGGTATGGTTTCAATAGGACAAAATGATATGTTTATAGAAGTAATTATGCATTGGCTTCTGGATATTATGCCTTACTTTCACTGTTTCATGGGTATTAAGTGCCATTGTTTGTATTTATTTTGTGGTTCACATGCTTAAATACATTATTTTGTGTTTGAAGAATATAAAGTCCTATTTATAGAGTACAGAGGATGGTTAGTGATTTTTATATATGGCTAGCTGAATCAGTCATTCCTTCAGAGAATGAGTGGTTCTTCTTTTCTTCTCGTGGAAGGAAGTACCCAAATGGCTCAGAAAGTAAGAGAGAAACTGAATTTGGCTATTGGAAAGCCATTGGGAAAGAACGAAATGTGAAGTTAGGATCTAATTTGATTGGCACGAAAAGGACACTGGTGTTCCACATAGGTTGTGCACCAAAAGAGGAGTGGACAATATAGATAATGCATAAGTATTGTATGAATGGAAATCCTCAGGTGATGGTGTTAATACTTTTTGACAATATTTTGTATTCTCATAGATGGTTTGGTTATTTCACCAATGCATCTACCTATGTATCTTAGGCATTAATTAGTTTTTACTTTTAATTAGTACATGGGCAAAATTATAATTCTATTAGATGGAGTAAACAATACTAGTCATTATAATTTATTATTATTATTATTATTATTATTATTATTATTTATTTATTTATTTATTTATTTGAATAACTAAACTGTTTTTAGTAGCAAAGAGTAGACACAAATATTGCAGATGGCTGTGATGCTTTGAATCTGGGTGTGGCTGCTGATAGCCTTTGGTTGTTTTTATTTGTGGTGTTTGGCTTGGGGTTTGATCTTGTTGTAATATGCACCTCTGTGTTTTCTTTCTTAATCTATTTGATATTTTGATTCATGAATGGTGTAGATTTCTATTATACTTTCTATGTCATAAATTCCTCAAAAATCTCATCAAAATACACCCTTGACATAACATAGTATTTTGTGAAATTCATATTTTATTTGTTCCTCAATATTTACCCTATAGACACATCCCATTTTATTGGTACTTCACTTCAGCACTTCCCTGCTTATTGCTTGCTGCATATCCTTGCTAGCTATTTATTTATTTTTATGTGATTGTTCTTAATCTGAATTTCACTCAATGATTGGTCCATAGGTTGCTTTTAATAGGGAAATTGGCACCCCAAGTGTCACTCTTGAGGGTTATATATTTAGGTATAAATGCATTTTTTTTTTCCTGATATAATCAGAGCCACAGATTGCTGTGAATTTTGGGTGTTGGTTCCTTTATTGTGTTGGGTGTTGGTTCCTTTATTTTCATTTTGAACCACTTGTTTTGAGTTTGTCACACTGTCATCTCCATCACGATTGGATTCCTTTTCATTTTATATTGTATTCAATTGCTTTTGCTTTTGTGAGCCAACATAGTTTGACTTTAGACAGTGTAAGTGACCAAGTTATGGTTTCAAATGTTGTCCTCTCAAGTTGTTTATTTTCAATTTTATTATTTTTTTAATTTTTATATAGCTATGCAGGCTTAATTAGAAAGTTTTAATCATTGTCATGTCATCAGTATCTAGTGACAATTTCTTATATATTAAAAGCCAAAAAAGAAAGAAAAAAAGGGACATAAAGTCTGTGTTTCATTGTTTCATGCTAGATGATGGAACAGTGCAACTTTCTAATATTTCTATTGCTGCTTATTAAGGGATGGAATCAAGCTCTGAGCATGATAAAAAATGGAGATAGTTACTGTGCTTTGTATGCAAAATCAGTCCTTGACTGAACCCAACAAACAAACAATTGCACCTTCTTGATCCTATTCTTCATGAAACTGTTAATTTAGGAAGGTTGTTCTAATTGTCATAATTCTTTAAAGCTCAATTCAATGAGCTAGTGAATGTTTATTCAAAATTCAAATACACATATCCTCGGAATAGGTTCTTATTAAATCAAGCCCCTAAAAAAAATTATCTTTATAATTTAGTTTTATGTTATTAAGCTCAAGCATATTTTAGTCTAATATTGTAAGACTCTTTTTAGGTATGTTCTGTAATATTAACCTACTCTCATCTAATACAGTTGGCAGGTTATCAGCCTTGTTGAAGCTATTGGGTATGTTGTTGTTGTGGATAAGTTGTTTACTGTTTAGAATAAATCTTATGGATAACCAACAATTTTGGTGGCAAAATCTGTGAAAGGAGAGGAAAGTTGTTGTGCTGACACCTAACATGCCAAATGTCCTATCTCATGTTTTTGTGTGAGAAAGAAATAGCAAGGTAAAATTCACTATCATTCTGTAAAATTTTTTTTTGTTTGTTTTTCTTGTTTTCTCAATGGGCAGCTGTTGAAATGAGTGACACTGATGTGTGATAGATGTGATTTATGTGGATTTCGATTCTTTTACAATTTTTTTTTATTCATTTTTCTGCATTTATTTTACCAACAACATTAGCAATAGACCGTTGAGCCATAACCTGACCCAATCCCACTAAAAACAAGTCAGTTAGCACTTGGTACTTCTCAATCAAATGAACCATTTCTCATAGAATTTTGATCAGAAACAAGGAGACGAAGCAAAAAAAAAAAAAAATCCATCATCTAAAACCACCCTTCTTTACATTTTATCAATACGTTGACGCCAAAACTTTGCAATTTGCAAACTAGGTTGGTCGTTGTTTCCAAATTCCAAAAAGTTGTTATCAATAGGTTTCATCTTTTGTCCCGTCCTTTGTAATCCTTGTTTTATGGTTATAGAGATCTATTTGAGTGGATTGACCTTGAACAACTGTAGTTCTAGCATTCGTTGCTTTTTATGGATCAGGTTAGCACATTGTGGTTTCTCCTCTATTATCTACTTTGTTTATTTGTACTTTTTCTACTTCATTTATTATGTATCTATGTTAGTCAAAATTTCTCTTTCCAATTTGAATTTAACCTCAAGATAATGGAATTAATTTTAATGTGCGAGTAGTGAGCACCATGACAAGTACATCAAACTTCTGGTTGCCCTTGTACTACCATCCAGATCTTTGTTAAGAGAAATTTTGAAGTCTATTTGATGACTCAGAATAAGTGAAGGCTAGAGAAATTTAAACTCAAAGGCTAGAAAAATTATAATCCTTAGGCAGTTTTGAGGTTTAAAATTGGTTTATCAAACTATATGTTTAAACTACATTTGTTAGGCATTCTAATAACTCAACCATAGACTCTTTCTATTTTTTTGGCAAAAGTTCCAAATTTTGTGTAAGATATTATACAAAGAATATATAGTGCATTAAAGCCATGGAGTGTATCAATTGGTTCCAGATTACGATGCAGTAGTAAAATACATTCTGTTTTGATTCCCTGTTCTAATAAATTTTTGTTCCAATTTTTCTACAATAGTACAATTATAGTGGTATCCTAGTTAGAATCAATAGTGAAACATTAGAAGGTATTTCTGAACCAGAAAATGGAATTGTGCATGATGAATCTCAAGTGGATATTGTTTCAAGCTGGAATATTGCTGAAAACTTACCCAAGGCAACTCAGGTAGTCACCCAACTATTGTTTTTCTATGTTACTAGTACTTTTAAGATATAAGTGATATTGAAACAATACTTTATGCAATTTAATATGGCATAGTTAAATTGATTCATTTAGTTACAAGCTTCATCAGCTACCATGTATTATTTTATATGATCTTCTTTCTTCATATTCTGACTGATATCACTATCTTTTGGTCTATTATACAGGATCACTTCATTTTGATTGTCTCTCATTTACATAAATACCTAACCCTATTGAGTTATCATATATATAGAAAATAAGAATTCATTCTTTGTTATATCTAATTATATCTGGCTGTTGACTTTATAAATCAAACTTTTGGCAGTGTTTGGGAAGCTTGGCCACAGGCTATTTTAGCCTTAATTATAAAAAAAAAGCCTTTTAGCCCCTAAAACCCATTGATTTAAAAATATATATATATATATATATATAGGGCGCAGCTTACACTGTCAACGTGACAGTGTAGGCACAAGGATTGACAACTCAATCATTTCAAAGAGTAAATGATAATTTCGCCCCTTCAAACTTATTTTGAAAAAAATGAGGTTAGGTACAAATTTGTCATTTCAGCCTCAAACATCATTTCAAACACATTTTTTAATACACAACCCAAATAAAAATTCATGCTATATTCCCAAACACAAAAACTAAAATAGCCAAAAAGCCAAAAAGCCTAAAAAATAGCCACTTCCCAAACACCCACTTTATCTGCACATGTAATTTAGTACTTAATTAACTTCATTTATACAGGTGGGTTAGCAATTGTAGTTGACATGCCTCTTAACAATTTTCCATCTACAGTTTCTAAAGAAACTTTTGAACTCAAGGTATGGATGGTTGAACTCAACTTTGGTTGACATGCCTCTTAGCTTCACTTTTTAATTAGGTAGTTAGAAGCTTTGCTTCACTTTCATATTCTTCTTGTACGAAAACTTGACCAACTATTGCCTTTTCTTGTTATCTTTTTTCCATCTACAAAACAGATCAAGGCTACGGCAAAGAGGATCTATGTTGACGTTGGTATGCTCTTAGAACTATACATGAGAAATCTCATATTTTAATCACTTGTTTTAATCATAGTAAGGTTGTGCTGCAATGTTAGTAATTTTAGGTAGCAAAGAGAGATGTAGGAATGTATGGCAAAAAGAAAATAAAACTAAGGAATATGTTTTTGTTGAAAAACTATTTAGTTTACTGGAAAACAATATGCTAGAAAATAAAGCATAGACTTTCTTGTGATGCTTTGTTATGTTAAATTAGCATGAAGCACTCACTTAATTTAAGTAATTGAAAAGGTGTGATGCAAGGAGAATGATTTTATCTTATATTTATTTAATTTCTATATCAAACATGAAAGAAGAAGTTCCACTTGCTAAAACCATCATATTGGGCTATTGCTGTGTAGTACTGATGGACAAGGACCACATGAATTTTAGGTGTACTTGGATTTGGTGTATGTTTGTTTGTGCACATAGAAAGTGCTTGTATGCAGTTTTACAGGCATATTATACGCTCACTAAAATGCTCAATTATGATATTTTCCCAATTGATTCTTGTGTCTTTTAGAGTAAATTTGAAGCTTACTTCATGTGTTATCTCTCTTGTTTTCTTTCATCTATCCAAAAGCATATGATTTCATTTAGCTTAGTATTATCACTTTAACATTAGCTTCACGTGGTTTCTACTCATGCTTATTTGTTATTGTGGTATTGAGTAAAGCATTTACACAAAAAACAAAAAAGGTTATTAAAATATTCTCTTAAATTATATTTTTCTTTTTAACGTTGCTGTAAAGTTTCCACATGGTCGGTGATTTTCTTTTTATTTTATTTCTTTCATTTTTTTGGTGTTTTCCTCTTGGCTCATTATGAACTCCCCCTCTAAATTGTCAAAATTAGTGCCTGAATCAACTTTATTGTTTAAAATTGTCATAAATCTATTTTGTCATTCTAAAATCTCTTTTGGTTTTCTTTCATCTATCCAAAAGCATATGATTTCATTTAGCTTAGTATTATCACTTTAACATTAGCTTCACGTGGTTTCTACTCATGCTTATTTGTTATTGTGGTATTGAGTAAAGCATTTACACAAAAAACAAAAAAGGTTATTAAAATATTCTCTTAAATTATATTTTTCTTTTTAACGTTGCTGTAAAGTTTCCACATGGTCGGTGATTTTCTTTTTATTTTATTTCTTTCATTTTTTTGGTGTTTTCCTCTTGGCTCATTGTGAACTCCCCCTCTAAATTGTCAAAATTAGTGCCTGAATCAACTTTATTGTTTGAAATTGTCATAAATCTATTTTGTCATTCTAAAATCTCTTTTGCCAGGTCATAAGCGGACTTGAGGCCGGGGCCTAATTCATAAATCTCTTTTGTTTTGATAAATGCAGGTTTGAAGCAATGCGGTAAGAGTCGCAAGCTTAGATGGGCACCTTTGTCACAGTGATAGGAGCATGTGGGTTTGCTGTAGCTGCAACTGTTATAGGAATTGTTGCCTATAGTTTTCAATAATCTCTTAATAGTTTTGGAGATGTTTAGAAACTTAGATATGCATAGTTTTGGATGGTTTAAACTTTTTGGACAGTTTAGAACTTAAGGATATAGTTTTCGAATGTTTGAAATGTATAGACAATTGTTGAATGTTTATGATTTATGGGTATAGTTTATTTTTGATGTTTCAAATATTATTTTGGTGGTTGATTAATGTTTTGTGATGCTCGGTTGTAATATTTGTTAGATTGTACAAAATTAGTCAAATAGAACCTGCTGAATTTTATTTTATTTTTTTTAAAAAAAAATGCATATTCCACTGCAGGCATAATAAGTTGTTGTATTACATATTTTACGGCGTGCAATCAGCGTTGTTATTTGTCTTACTAATTACGGCATGCAAAAGTAGTCGTAAAAAAAGTAACAATGACGTACAAAATTTGCCGTTAAATAGTTTTTAACTGCTTATTCTAACATGTTGTAGAAAAAGTAACGACAACGCACAAAATCTGTCGTTAAGTAGTTTTTAATGGCATACGAAGCATGTCGTTGAAAGCGAATAACTTTCCATGACTGGTCATAATATGACGTGCACTGCACGTCGTAGAAGGGTTTTTATGGCATGCATTGCGCGCCGTAAAAACCAGTTTTTTGTTGTAGTGAATATCTTTTTTCTTCAATTTTAATTGATTATTAATATCTTTTTTTTTTAATAAGATTTAAATTTGGACTTATCAATTCGAAAATTTTGTGAATGGACTTCTGACCTAATTGCCCTAATAGAATAGACTTACTTCAATACTTGTATGATGTGCAGTGTCAAGTAAGTGCCAAATAAGAGATGGGAAAAGAAAAAAAAAGAGTAAATATCATTTTTAATACTACATATATATATTCATTTAATTCCCTCATCTATAATCAATTAGGTTAAGCAGTTGGCGACATTTTTTGGCAACTAAAGTAGAAATCAGTTGCCAAATGTATATAATTGGCGACCATATATTTTATGGTCGCCAAAAACTAAACTATTGGTGACTGATGAAATATAGACTCAAGATGAATTGATATTATTTTCTTCAATGAATAAGTTACACAGATTACATTGTTTATATAGATCAGTAGGGAATCAGTTATAAAAACCTCCTAATACACAATAATATGCTAACTAACTCCTAAGCTAACTGACTTTGTGACTAACTGATCTGATGTGGCTGTAGCTGTACTAACTGAAGCTAGAGCTGATTTAACTGTTGAGCTGATATGGGATGAAGACTTAGCTGCTACTGCTGCTGAGCTGAGCTGGGATGATAAAGTATTCTCAACATGCCCCTGCAAGCTGATGAGGTGACAAAACTCCATGAGCTTGGATTTAAGATACAAGAACTTAGTTATAGATAAAGGTTTGGTGAAGATATCAGCCAACTGATCTTGAGTAGGAATATAGTGTAAACTAAGTTGTTTAGCAAGCACCTGATCCCTGACAAAATGACAATCCACCACGATATGCTTGGAGCAAGAATGGAAAACTGGATTAGAAGCAAGAGCAATAGAAGAGACATTGTCACACTATAGGATAGGTACTGTTGGGGAGGAAATAGCCAAGTCCTGAAGCAACATTTGGATCCAAGCTTTTCAGCAGCAGCATGAGCCAGTGCTCGATATTCGGCCTCAGTAGAGGATCGAGACACAGTGACCTGCTTTTTAGCAGACCAAAAGATAAGGTTGGAACCCAAAAATATGCAATATCCAGAGGTAGACTTTCGGTCAAGCACATCCCCTACCCAGTTTGAGTCTGAAAAGGCATGGAGATCAAAGGTACTAGGCTGATATGTCAAACCATGAGCAATGGTGCCCTGAACATACCGTAATAATCGTTTAATAGCTAAAAAATGCCCAAAAGTGGGGCATGCATGTGTTGACTGGATTGGTTCACAGACAAAGAAAGATCGGGTCGGGTGATGGTAAGATATTGCAAACCTCCTACAATACTGTGATATAAAGAGGGATTGTCATAGGGAAAATGAGCATTAGAAGGAAGAGTAGGCTTGACTGCAATAGGAGAAGAGCATGGCTTGCAATCAGCCATGCTAGCTTTGTGAAAAAGATCTTGAGCATATTTCTATTGAGAAAGGAAATAGCCTGAACCACCAGTGGACAAAATTGAAATGCCAAGAAAATGAGCAATATTCCCCAATTCCTTCATAGAGAATGCTTGATGCATTCGGGAAATAAGAGATTGAATATGAGAGGCATTGTTGCCTGTAAGTAGAATGACATCAACATAGATCAAGAGGACAGTGAATGAGGTGGCAATGTGCTGAATGAAGAGAGAGCTATCACACTTGCTATTGCAAAATCCTTGGGAGAGAAGAAAGGATGAGAAGGTGGAATACCAAGCACGTGGTGCCTGTTTTAATCCATACAATGCTTTGTGCAGCTTACATACTTGAAAGGAGGAAGAAGCATGCTGAAAACCAGGGGGTTGTAACATATACACCTCTTCCTCAAGACTCCCATGGAGAAATGCATTAGAAATATCAAGTTGGTGAATTAGCCACTGATGATGAAGAGCAAGGCACAACAAAATGCGAATTGTGGGCTGTTTGGCAACTGGACTAAAAGTCTCTTGAAAATCAATGCCTTCATGTTGAAGGTAGCCCATAGCAACTAGGCGTGCCTTGTACCGGGCAATAGTCCCATCAAAGTTCCTTTGGATTTTAAATACCCACTTACACCCAATGGTTGTCTTGTGAGGTGGTAAAGAAATAAGGGGCTAGGTCTACTGCTGTTGTAGAGTAGCATATTCCTCAGACATAGCTTTCGACCAAAGTGGAGACAAAAGAGCTTCCTTATGAGTAGGAGGCTCAAAATCAGAATAAAGAGAATAAGAAGTTTTCTAAGCAGACAAACAAGTGGGAACTGTTTTAGACCTGGTGAGCATACGATGAGTGTTTTGAGCAGGTCTAGAAAGAGGAAGCTGAATGGAGATGGACTGAATAGGAATGGAGTGAGACAATGGAGGCATAAAATGAGAGAATGAAGGGACCATTAAAGAAGAAGGAGTACTAAGCACTGGAGAAGAAGAAGGATAATGAGGAGGAACCACAAAGGAACTAGGATTAACCACAGAGGAAGGCAAAGCAGAATACCAGAAAAATATATAAAGATGAAATAGATGAAGAAGGAGAAGAAGAAGAAATAGAAGCATAAGGAAAAATAGACTCATTAAACACAACATGATAAGACAAATAAACTTTTCCTGTAAGAGGATCAAGACAACGATAGCCTTTAGCAAAGGGATGGTAACCAAGAAATAGAAAAGAGATGGATTTGGGCTGAAGTTTATGAGAAACACGTGGCTTGAGCCAAGGGAAACATTGGCAACCAAAAACTCTTAACTGAGAATATTCTGGTAAGGAATGAAATAGCAGTTCAAAAGGAGATTTATTACTCAGTTTAGAAGAAGGTAACCTATTAATAAGAAAAGTAGCAACAACCATAGCATCAAACCAAAATTTCAAAGGCGTGGTAGCATGATGGAGAAGAGCAATGGCTGTATCAATAATGTGTCTATGTTTCCTCTTAACCACATCATTTTGTGGAGGTGTGTAGGGACCAGAATGTTGATGAATAATACCCTGAGTAGAAAGAAACTGCTTCATTTTATCGTTAAAATACTCAGTACCTCCATCAGTTCGTAAAATATGTAAGGATGTGATAAATTGGTTCTCTATATAGGCCTTAAACTCCACAAACTTAGCATAAACTTCACTTTTATAGGCCAAAGGGTACAACCATTTAAACCTAGGAAAGTCATCCACAAAAAGAACATTGTACTTATAACTAGAATTAGAAGCATATGGACCCCATACATCACTATGAACAAGAGACAATGGTTGATGAGTGTAACGCCCTCAAAATAACAACATTAAACCCATCAGATAAGACATGCATTTACATATAAACTAACTATATTCCTTTATTCCTTAGAGTTCTATTACATAAGTATTACATGTTAACATCATAACAAAATGCCCTACGGGCTTACAGCTTTCCAAGTTAACACTTGGTTACAACAAAAGAGTACTAACTCGTTTACACATTAAGCCCTTGGCTTGAAGTTACATATAATACATCAAAAGTTAAGCAACAAAAGTATGCCCGCCTCTTCTAGCCTCCCAAGCTATGTCCTTGGAGGTGGCATGCTTCCTGCACCTGAAAATGATATTCCCATATAGGGTGAGCCACAGCGCAGTAGAAATACACTAAACCAACCATGAACAATGACTAAAATATTAGCAATTGATAGATGGCCAACACTGATACAATCACATATCTATGTCATACGACTTATGAGTCCAAGTTTCCTTTCATTTTCCCTTTTTCAACGGATAGGCATATAAGCACTAACCACATTCTCAACAGATATGTATAACAACAATATCCACAGATAAGACTAACAGGTGGAGAGGACTTGCTGAAATGCAATGAATGCTGTGAAGGAGAAGAAGACAAAGGAGTAGGAGATGGCAAGAAATGGTAAAGACCATTGACATTAAAGCCCTTGTGAAGCACTCTCTTCGAAAGCTTGTTCTAAATCACAAAATTAGCATCATCAAATGCAATAAAGTAGTTGTTATCCTTTGCTAATTTCTGAACAAAAACAAGATTAGAAGAAATAGAAGAAGCATGTAAAACATGATTAAGTTTGAAAGAATGATGAGGTGTAGGTAAAACACCTTTACCAATATGCTGAATAGGGACAGAGTTACCATTTCCAATAGTGATGTGATCTGTTCCTTGATAAGGCTGGTTAAAAGTCAGATTGTTCATGTCATTGGTGATGTGATTTGTTGCTACAGAGTGAAGGTACCAAGGAACTTGAGAAGAGGCAACAAGAGAACCAGATGCAGCAACAAAAGCTTTGAAATGTGAAGGAGCAGATGAAGAAGAAGACTGATGACACTGCCGTGGTTGATACTGAGAATGTGGTTGTGGCTAATACTGAGAATCCATCCTATACCAACACTTAAGAGCAGTGTGGTTAAAGCCACCACAAATTTAACATTGTTGAGTAGAATGAGGATTTCGACCTCTGCCTCGACCAAAACTTCTTGTGAACCTGCTAGAACCACTACCAGTTCTGTAATCTTGAGATCGACCTCTATTACCTCTGTAAGAGTTTCTGCCCT